TTTCAACCCCTTCTGACTTCAGCAGCTGGCTATCCGAAAGAACACTGCATACATCAAAGTTAGTGAACATTACATTGAGTCCTAGATGGTTTTGGTGCTTGGTGACCTTCCTCCGAGTGAGCCGTGTAACCGTGAGTAGCTCAAGTGTGAGCTTCCTTGTTCAACTCCTTACAGATCAACCTGTTACTTTTGTTCTGCAGATTGAGAGCAAGATTAAAGTTGCTTTTAAGTTAATGATTATGAGGGAATCATCGTGATCGTCTCTTCAGGTTTTCTGGTACTTTGAGGTTGAAGAGTAGGTTGCACGGCCAGTTTAATAGCTGACATTTTTTTACAAGACCTGAACTGCTCAGCATTTTTGACGGTGAAAATCGATCCTCTTCAAAACTGCTAAAAGTAGTTCAGTCACCTACAAAACTTTCGGGGATCACAGTTGCATTCAGGGGGCCTGTGATATTGGATACAATTTCGCTAAAAGCTGTACACCGTCGATGTTGTGGCGGTGATGAGCTTCAGAATATCCACACTAGTATCGATGCGTCTTCTATCTATACCAATGTCGTCGAAGGCCCTTCACTCAATGTCTTTACTTGATTACCCACTAGATCATTACCTCTTTCAGGGTTTATGACAATTCTTTTCGCAGATCTGTCAAGAACATAGTGATGTTGCCCAGGAAATGGTACTTTAATAAGTATTAGAAGCATGTAAGGGCTCCTGTTTAATATGACATTTTAGATATGAATCACTCGTAATTATAGCCACAAAGCTGCGCAAACACACGTCTATATGTAGCTTATAGAAGGAAGATTAGACCAGCTATTAATCGTAAATTCATCTTCCTACTTATTCACGTTACACGCTATTTTCTATCGGAAGCTATCCACTGGAATGTTTTTCTTACTTGCCCACTGTCAATCTATTTTCCAGTTGCTGGGTGCTTTGGTCAAACAGACGATGCGAATGCCTGAAATAAGGTGGTTGGACTGTGAGGTCCTTGAAATCTTAGACTTAGTCTGAACTGCTCGTCCAGTTGATGATACGTATTTAGCCGAATTTGTTGTTGGACCTATGCAAACTCAGTCAACAACTCTGTGCCAAACCATGAACTAAGTCAACACTACGTCGTATGTAATTCAAATGAACTTGGGTTTATATCGCAACGAACTAATGTATACTTTATATATTCACTACATAGAAGCGAGAGTAACCTAGGTGAGTTTCACAATTGCATTACATTATTTTGTACTGTTTGTGATGCCCAATGATATTTCCTCGTTAACTTCACATAGAGTAGTCATATACTTTATCATTCCCGTTAAGGTTTTGTCGACATCATGCATATTTACGCCTCGTAAGTCGAATCTCAGTCCAAGTCTTAACTAGATACGTTGTCGCAAGACTGCACGTAATATGTTACTTGGTTTTAGACGATAATCGTTTTGCGTCGGTCTTTTACGAAACGGCCATTTTTCCTGCGGCTTCTAAACCTTTGTTACGGTGACGGTTGCCAATTTCGCCAATGTTTACAATACGCTACGCACTTGCTGTTATTTCACAATGTAGACCACGATTCGACTTCCTTATAACACGAAAGTTGCCTTGAGTTCATTTTCGGTTTACTTACGTGCAACACGTTTTTTGGTAATATCTAAACGACCTCTAAAATTCTCTACAGACCCCACCAAAGTACCCGTATATGTTTGTATTTACTCACTCAACTGTTACAATAATAATATACAGACGAACACTCAGTGCAAATGTCAGGATACGTCAGAACAATGTGATTTTATGTAATGTTATAGCATAACCAAACTACTGTAATTATTCAACTTTGAAACAATACTTTCTGTATTTTATGAAGTATCGCTTTTCCGTGGCTGTTATCTAACAAATGATTTTAGCACATAAACCGGCAGTTTAAATACTAGACGACTTGAAGACCTTTGAGTTTATTTGGTGGTCTGACGACACAATCACCCACACTCCATGGACTGACTTACATGGCAGTGGTCGTACCTTGTTCTTGTACCCACTCTTTTCAATGTCCACGCCAGGTACTAGCCGTGAGAAGTGACTTCGAAGTTAACTGGTCGGTCACAAAATTCCATCTAATTCCAGTAGGCCCAGAGTCACTCAACAAAGACCATCCACGTTGGTGATCTACATCATGTTGCAGGAAGGCCAACCAGTCTTCAATTTACTACTGTGAAGTTTCAAAAGGGACCAATTAGCTTAACCTAGGCAAACATATGACTCACCTAAATGTATTTTGTCGTTTTGTTTTAAACTAGAAACCTGGCTGTCTAACAATCAACACATATTTTGCCAAACATTACAAGCCTGTCTCACGTGTGAAATCGAGACACTGCGACAAAATATGATCTTCAACTATAATGATTTTATTATTATTATAAGCCTTATTCAATATTATATTTTTGATACAATATAGAATTCTCAGCACAAAGTATTTCAACAAGTCTCCGTTTCTTACTTCTTGGTCGATCCTGACGATAAATATTGAGTCATCGCCAGTTAGATCTTAGCAGTCTAGTAAATGAACATCTGAATAATGTACATTCTTTTTGCTGCATATTGCCAGCGGCCACATTATCTCTTATTGGGCTTTTTGTAACTTTGACAACGAAAAGATGTACAGTTTTCAGAAATGCACCAGGATAGGTTATGAGATTAATAGACATAATGATACATCAAAACAAACAAAAATAGATAACTTGTTGAAATATCTAGATGGCAGGAACAGGTAGCCCAGATACTCAAGCAGGCCGCCTATCTAAAGTCGAATCATTGTAAGTTTCGCTCCCCATAGACTACTGAAATTTAATGTCATTACAGAGAGTAACTATTCTAGTCGTTGTAGATTGGAAACGTTTCAATCATACTTGAAATACATTCATTAGGTGTATAATGTTACCCACCGCATAATGTCATAAGCTTCAGTTTCTCATGCTGCTTTGTTTGCACTTAATGACGTCAATTCTATCAAATCACTCGTCAAAATTATGCAAACTTTGAGAATGAGCTTTATTTCAATATCAATATAAGTATACCATACGTATTTGGAGTTCAACATTTCATACACCCATACAATCAAAGTATGCCAACAGTCAAATTAGAAACGAGAAAGTTCGGAAATATACATAAAAGGCTATTGATATATTGGAAAGCGCCTAATCTAAACCGGCTGACGGTTGTAAGAGACGTATAGCAAGACGTGCCTATTCGTGATCTAGTGAGGATGCGTCACCGAGTGCCTTCAGCTAGGTGAGTCCAGTAAAACTGATGCGGCCAGCATCAAATGTTGAAGACCTACAAACATATTGATTTTAGGGATTTATTTACCACTACAATCTAGTGGCTATTACTGAGCAGATTAATTTCAATCCATTCTGAATAATAAATCAGAGCCAAGTATTACAAGTCAAACTCTTTGTTAGCAACCAGGATACAGAAGTCTATTTAGAGACATAAGTTTGGGAAGGATACTTTTAAAACCAGAATCCAAACCAGTCATGGTTAAGATCCAAAACCTAAGTTACGATTTACACCGACCAGAAAAATTGCTTATGACTAAGATTTTCCAAAATGAGGAAAACTAACCTAGATTTGAAAAGCATCAAACAAACAGCACGATTGACAATGGTGGTTTGCCAACACTATGAACTTTGAATAACTAGTAAACATATTGGACAGTGGAAAAATTAAGAGGGTAAAAAACAATAAAATGATCGGAACATCAGGCTTAAAGGTTTACGGAGATACATGATATGATGCATATACCACTTTTAACACAAGCTTATGATCGACTATTAGGAATCAGGAAATTTAATTTTTGACTTGCTATGAATGCAGTCGTGATCTTGCGCTACAACAACTAGTAATTATGGTTTAATGAATCTACTGCTGCGATTAGTACAGAGAAAATAGTGAGACCACCGCACTGGCCAATCCATGGCATACGATTAACTGATGCGCGTTGGTTGTCTTTGGCAGGGATCGATGATCTGTTCGATACTCAGTGACCCAACTGCCGGATGTTTTGGCTAGAGCCCAATGACATTTCACTGGCCCTACACTGTCCCTTACGTTACTCATATAAAATGAATAGACCTTACTCAGTCAGTCAGCTACAACGTAGGACTAGGCACATATATGCATCGGTCCAGGTTGCCATACCCCATTAGCACAGCAAGATGAACACCGGATTCATAGGGGTGGTTAGGTCAAAGGTGGAAATATATAGGAGAAAGATTGCATATAAGGATATAGTATAGGAAGAAAGAATTAGTTCGTAGAAAGAAAGATATGAAGTGATTTTAATCTCTTAGTTTAAGGGAAAACAGGGAGTGTATACACCGACGCCATTGTGATCGATTCTGAGCCATGTCACCAAGAGTCTCCAACCATTGGTTACGAAAGTCACGCGGACCCCAACCAAGTAGTCTGCATCTACTAATAGACCTTACTAGTAGATACTTAATTAACATGGCCTGAGATCCAATGAGAAATAACTCAACGAACGAAGTACTGACTAAGACATACTGATGCAATGAACCCGACAGAACCACCATCCTTAATATCGGTTCTCATTGCACTTCGGAAACATTGGTAAGTCGTGTATGACTTCAACTGCAGTCTCTGAGCAGCAACTCAGAAAAGCTACACAACAAAGAGATGCGTCACTACACTGCCTAAAATACAATGGATAGAACCCTAAAAGAGCTAGAAAACTTTCGTCATAAAAATGGGGTACCTAGGTCTGCAAGTCTGAACCTACCATTCGTATACCCCTTAATGGTTTTTGTCCCGCCCACACATGTTTCTTACACTCTTAGTATGTTATTTTGTATTTTAGCGATGGTGCTGACAAACGACACAGAGATGATCTGAAGTAAACTTACCTAAAAGTGGTGTTGGATAGGAACTGACAAACTATAGTTCTACAGTTTAAAAATATAGACAAATTAAAGTATGTCTTTTATATGAAAAATTATAATGAAAATACATACAAGGAAATACATATCATGTCCCGTACAATTTCCTCTGTAATGGTGGAGCCAGTTGAGAAGTTATATTTCTAGAATCGATCGAAACAACTGCGATTTCTGATTCTGATAGAACTTTTGTTTGAATTATGTTCTAAAATATATATCAATGTTGCAACAAATAATTAGTAAATTAAAATTATTAAGTTGTACAGTATGATATCAGTTTTCGAAATTTAGTTCTTTTAAGAATAGAACAAGAAACATGACATTATTTAGTGAAAAGGAGGTATAGCTACAGCTTGAGTAGTGGTAGTATGACATTGTAACAAGATCGGATAACAGGATATAATTCGTGAATTATTAAAATATGACGAATGAAACGTACTCTAACATATTAACAAAGAGAAGTTCGAAAGAATTGTAAATGAATAGTAAAGATGAGTAGAGCACATTAATGTCCAAAAACGTGATACAGAAATGAAAGTATATTTGAAATACGTGCTGTAATGGATCTACATGTGTTTACGTCTTAACATATAGCGGCATGTAAAGCCAGAAGATAAACGTGTTTTCAAACAAAGTACTGAAAATTAGGGTACTTTGTACCACGTTACCAGCCAAAATGTGAATATTTGGGACGCTTCTACTCCCAAGACGTATACTGAAGAACAACAATACACCAGTGGTCAGTAGACTAGTTTAGTGTTTAAAACTATACAGAAAGTCAGTGAACAGCAGACTTAATTGCATGGAATAATGTCACGAACTATTTGTCATTAAAACATCTGATTTAAAACTTTACAAAACCAAATGAAGCATATTCAAAGACAAAAAATGGAACCTACTTTGACATTTTCGCAAATATACAAACAGTAGTCGTCATCAGCAGTCCTCTTGTAAGTAAGGATCTTCTTGATCATCCCAAGTTCATAATTCTATATTGTAAATTGTTTCAAGATCATTAAGAGTAGAGACAAAACGAAACAGATGAGTGCACATAAACGATCTTATTAGTGTCTGTTGATATGCAAAGTCACTGAATGAGTGCCTTATCAATTTTTACATCTATAAGTCGAAATAATAATGTGATCATCATACTCGGTTACAGGTACATTCAACAAACAAGTGCTTAATGAAAGAAAACGGGAGTTCAAAGATTTCACGCCAAACACTTCCAAAACTGTAAAGTTCTGGCATAATGACCCAATTTACTTCGGTTTGAGTGGTTTGGTAGTTTTACAAAAACTGGAACTTAAGGTCGAGTACATAAACCTGTACTTTGTATATGAGTTACACTAATTATCAAAAGTATAAGTAACAAAAATGAAAAGAATATCCGGACACTGATCAGAAAAGGATATATACTAACTATAAGAATGACGAAATAAACAGTGGTTAAACGAGATCTGTTTTAATATGATGGAAAGACTGTACTGTGAAATTTTAAGAATTCTGCTATCACACTGAGTTTTAAGAAAATGATGATACACAACCAAATAAAACAGTTCAATTCAGAAATCTTTTTATTCACTACTTTTTTCCACATTTGCAACTAATATCCCGAAAGCTACCGACGAAAACATATGATGCTGGCGTGAATTAGTTAGTTAGAAGGAAACCTTTTTCACCATGCAGACAATATTATCTTATAGCCTGAACCAAACTTTAAGCACTTAAATATATGGTATGCACCTTTTATCATGTATCTGCACTCACATTAGTATGTGAGTAAATTGGATGTAAACTTTTACTGTATAACATGAAACAAAAAATGTATGCTAATCGTGACAACGTATGGCCTAATTCGGCTTTAAAAGACTTAACACACTACTGATTGATGAAGTGTTGATTTGAGTTTTAGAAACCTGAACTCACAAAAAGCAGAATATCTGACAACTATCCTCAATTTTAAGAGTTATGCCAATTGTACGTTTTCTTCGATAATCTGGTGCTATTGTAGAATAATAAGAACTTTCGTCTAAATTTGAACGAACAGTTTCACAATATTTGGGCACCGAGTTAATGTGAGACATTATAGAGGAAGAATATATTTGTAAAATCTGAGCGAAAGAATTTGAAGTAAATCCAACGTTTCGCCTGGCAATCTGATCCAAGCTTTTTCAAGGAAAATATATCACATCAAATTATCGAAGAAAATGTACAACTGGTATAACCACTTTTAAAGATATATTTTCCTTGAAAAAGCTTAGAACAGATTGCGAGGCGAAACGTTGAATTTACTTCACATTCTTTCACAGAGATTTTACAAATACATTATTCTCAATTTTTTTGCAGTAAACATTGCATACAGTAGAAAAACATTTATGAGAAAAGAATAACCAGTGAAAACTAGCAGTGTTTCAAATCATCAACTAACTAATATAGTTACGTCGAATGCTTTTTACAAACCTTAGGAATGGATTAAAACAACGAAAAAAGTGAGAGTCTGATTCAGTTTGTGAAGTGGGCGATGTTTGCATTAGCTTATAATCTGGCATCGAATTCTGAATATACAACTGAGATTCTAGGAATTATAGAATATAAATCCTTGTAATACTGATAAAAAGACGTCTGGATCCTTAGTGTAAAAGAAAGTAGTATGTCCTTCTTTTACTTTCGACATGAACAGCAAAATAAGTTTTTTGAAAAACAAGAAAAACTTGGTTTAATTTGTTGGGGTTACTGGGTTGACATTCTTGATTGAGCCTCGCTCAGTCACAGCGTACATGAATTCTGTGCAGGTCACTTCGGTATAGCTAGTTTGCTAATGTTATAGAAGAAACAGATTGTAGTCAGTAAAAGAAACTAATTTGAGACTTGTCAGATGAATGTACCTGCGTCTGCTCCGGATTTGTGCCGTGCCTTTCGCTTCAAATAGGACGAAGCGTGAGTCCTGATTTCCATTTCTAGCCACAATCGGTTTCTTCTTTCAAGGAAATGCGCTTATTTTAGTATTTCTATACAATTGTAGCGTTTCACATGCTTAACAAAGTTTGAGAACAATAATTCTTGTAGACAGATGACTTTGTAGTGTTTGTAAATATTTTGTAAAAATTCAATTACGTGTAAAAGTAAATATGGCTTACAACATACTACGCGTTCATTGAAATGCTTTTTAAAAACTATCAAATAAAACACTGAAAGCTTCCTTACATTAAAACACGCTACGTATGGCCAGGATTAAAGTAAACACCATAAACAATTTCATTCATGAATTAACTCAATGATTACGAATGAAAAAGAAATGTCAAGGAAATGGAAATCTGGTTAACACACTTAAGAATAAAGATGAACACCCACCTTATGAGAAACCAAAACAACTAAAAATCGATTTGAAGCTAACAGCCATTTATTGGGTTCAATATAATCTACACTATGAAATACTCCTAGACTCCGTGAAATTTCCTCACCCATAGTACGCCAAAATTTAACGAGCCACTTGTTTAGTCCAACACCAATTATACTTTTTGTTGGGACTGTAGGACTTGTAGTATGATCCGACTCATCAGAATTATTTACATTATTTGACTGTTTTATAGTTATCTTCCACTCTCTTAATTGACCATTTGTGTACAATACTGAGACACGATGTTTGGGTAATGTAGTTACTGGTGATTCGGCAGATTGTTCGCTGATAATACTTGGGAATGCGATTGATACCGGTAAAGGTGAATGACCACTGACTGAATCAATACAGGAACACGTGAACAGGATAGAACCAGTTGGCGAATCATATAAGCGTACACGTGCATCAGAACAGCCAAGTCCAATTAAGTAACCACAATCGGTAAGAATATTTGAGACAGACATTATGTGGGCTCGAACATGTAACTCATCATCTGAAAAAGTGAGTTAGGTACACAACTAAACAATGAGAAGATTCAGGTAAACAACACCAAGTGAATTTAAACTTCACCCCATTGCACAAGCAAGTGGCTGTCGGGACTCAGTAGGTAAATGGATAAGGCGATGGCATTTGAAGCGAACGGTACTGGGTTTGAGTCTCGAAGTGAACACTCAACTCAGAAATGCAAGTACATTCAGCTGATGAGTCCAAAATAGGACGAAACGCGAGTCCTGGATTCCACTGCTAGTCACTATTCGTCTCTGTTTATAACACAACCACAACTATATGACAACATGAAACTTTGTAAATCTATTTAGTTTATGCAATTAAAGCGAAAAACATACTGTTATATGAAGTTTACATACGAGCATAACCTTCCCACCATAATATTAATAATTCAAATAATAAACTCATGTTTCTAAAGCCATTAAATGTTAACACAACAGATGTAATAGTACAAAGCTACTAATACAGTCAGTCAGTAACAACGTAGAACTTAGTACGTACGTACATCAGTTCGAGTTGCCACACCACATTAGCACAGAGATGCAGTAGTCGATTCAAATCCCGTAGTGGTAGAGGTAGTAAGAGTATAAGCCGTACTCGGAAAGATTAAGGTTTGAAGATGTTATTCAAGGAGTATAATTCAGTGAAATAAATTTGGAAAGAGAAAAAAGGGACATAAAGAATTCAGAAGATTAGAATTTGAGAGAACACAGAGAGTGGATGCACCTGCGCCATTGCAAACGATTTTGAGCCATGTCATTCAGGGTCTCTAACCATCGGTTGCTATCATCTCGCGGTCCCCAACCAGATAGTCTACACCTACCAACATGACTCAGTCCACTTGTCAGTGACTTCATGGACTTGTGCCATGTTTTGGTTTGGCCGCCCCTAGCTTTCTTCCAACCTACTCCTATACCACTGAACATAGCACGTCGAGGTAGTCGGTCGTTGAGCATACGTAACACGTGTCCCAGCCATCTCAACTGATGAAGTTTCACTACTTCATCAATTGATTTGCCATCCTTACCTAGTACCCGTTTCCTAACAACTGTGTTACTTACTCGGTGGTCCCAGGATATACGAGCAATGTTTCGAAGACACCTATGATCGAATACTAGTAACCTACGAATATCCTCCACTCTTACCGGCCATGTTTCACTGCCATAAAGTAGGACGGAACGAACTGCTGCGCAGTAAACACGTCCTTTGGTTGATAGACGGATATCTCGCCTACGCCATAAATGACGCAAGTTGGCAAAAGCTAGTCGGGCCTTCTGTATCCGTGCTGAGATTTCGTCACACACCAGACTACAAGGGCTGATGAGACTTCCAAAATAAGTGAAGCGATCGACACGCTCAACTACTTCACTCCCTATCATTAGTTCGGGTGTCGATGCAACCCAATCCTGAAGCAACATTTTGCATTTTGAGGGGGAGAATCGCATCCCGAACATGCTTGCATTGTTGCTTAGAGTGATCAGAAGACTCTGCATTTTGTTAACGTCTTCACCAAATAGAACTATGTCATCAGCATATTCTAAGTCAACAAGTGAACCTCCTGGTAGAAGTTCAACCCCTGTAAATTTAGATGAGGAGAGTGTTATCTCTAAAAGTATGTCGGCCAGAAAGTTGAACAAGAATGGGGAGAGTGGATAGCCCTGACGAACACCACTTGAGGTAATCAATTCTGATGACAGTTCGCCATAAGCTCTCACTCGACCAGTTGTGTTTGGGTAGAGAGCCTTTATAAGGTTAATGTACTTCTTTGGTACTCCTTTCAGTGACAAACATTGCCATAGAACCTCACGATCAACAGAGTCGAATGCCGCCTTAAGGTCGAGAAATACTACCATTGTGGGGCGTCTGAATGTGTGTCTGTGTTCTAGAACCTGACGTGGTGTGAATATCTGATCTATACAACCACGTCCAGGTCGAAAACCAGCCTGATTTTCTCTAATCTGTTCTTCACGAGCTCCAGCTCCCAGATTCTACCTAAGACCTCAGTCAATCTCACTGCTAATAGTGGACCGCCATCCTTAAAAATCTCAGGAGTAAACCTGTCAGGGCCTGCTGCTCTCTCTCGCTTCAGATTTCCTATGGCTTTTTCAACTTCGTAAAGAGTTGAAGGATTTACATTAACTTCCCATTCAGGTTGACTGGAGATTTTGGGAAGCTGAAGTATGGCTGAAGACTAGTTGAACTGATCCTTTAAGTGTTCTGCCCATCGATCCAATCTCCTGGATTGAGAATGAATAAGATGTCCATCTTTTTCCGAGATAGTTTTGCTAACAGTTGGATTCCTAATACCGGTTTCCTTGACAAGTCTGAACAATTGTCTGCTATTATCTATTGCCGGTGCCTTTTCCATCTCTCTTGCTTTCGATACCCACCACTGTTCGCGACCATTGCGTAGGCTTCTTATCAGCTTGCGCTTAAGCTGACTCCGCTCTTCTTCATGTTCAGAGCCAGGTGGAATGAGTTTCCGAGCATCTATCAGTGCGATAGATGCTGCTGAGATCCAGTGTTGCTCCCTAACCTTCTGGTTTACCTTACTAGCAGATATCACTGCTGTTTCCACAGCTTTTCGGATATCATTCCATGCTGCATCGGGGTGGGCATCACATACATGGCTGCCTAACTGTTTTCCTAGTTGTTCCTGAAATATACTCTTAGCTTGACTATCGTTAAGTAGGCCCCTAAGAGGTTTCCTTGCAGCGTCTTTCCTACGTGCAGTAAGACGCAAGCAAATACGCGCTCGCACTAGAGCATGATCTGGATCTAGGCATGTGCTCCCGAATGAGTGACAGTCTTCTATCGAGCCCCTCCATCGGTGGCTGATAGCGATGTGATCTATTTGGGTCCAACATTGGGACGAATTAGGGGGTCGCCATGTTAAAAGATGTTTTTCCTTATGCTTAAAGTTAGTATTTGCAAAGAACAGGCGGTTATCTGAGCATAGCTGCGACAGACGGTCGCCATTATCTGTTCTTTGAGCCACGACACCATAAGATCCACCTAGGTGTCTTTCCCTATCGCTTAGTTTACCTACTTGAGCATTAAAGTCACCGGCCACTAATACTACATCCGAGCGCTTAGCTTTTAGGAGGAGGTCGGAGAGCTTTCTGTAAAACTCATCTTTTACATCATCTGAGCTGCAGTCAGTGGGAGAATAGGCAGAGACGACGAAGAGGCAACGACGAGTGTCCCTATCTTTCTGGATTCTTACTGTTCCGTTCAGTCGGACAGCGCACAAACGACTGTCTACTGGGATCCACTCTAAGAGAGCTAGTTCTGCCCTAGGACTCAATGCTATTAACTACGCCAGCGAGGCCACGGGAAGCAAAATCAGGGCTTCCAGATACACGAAGCGTAAATCGAGTCGGTTCTTTATTTTGGCATGGTGAGGTCAAATGAATGACGCTACTTGGATCCTGTATGCGCGTTTCGGAGACGCAGCACACATCGATGGCGCGAAATTCTAAAGTCCTAGCTAAGGAAGCCTGCTGTCCTATTTGGCACAGTGTTCGGACGTTAAAAGCTCCTACGTGTAGTTTAGAGCGTGGTTTCAGGAGACCAGGAATAGCGTTCCACGTACTCGAATCGTTTGCCCTAGCGGTGCGAGGTGATAAAGAGACGTGAGGAGGGTTAGTCATGGAGATAAGAGAGGTATTAGGAGGTGTAGGAAGGATTTGAATGTGACCGACTTGGTCTCGTGTGCTGTTACGGGTATGAGGGCTGATGTCACTTCCCAGCTGCCCACACCGTGGAAGGGTATTTCTTGAGGAACCTGAAAAGGAAGTCAAATTAATGTCGACCTTCACGACCTGGGAGCGTGATCGCAGAGCTCACGGGACAACTGCTTGAGGCCGGTCGAGCACGGCCTTTTTGTGGAAGGTTTTTGATGTGTTAGCTCTGTTCTTCAAAGGGCCTTACCGCCGGAGACGGAGATCCGTGAGGCAAGGTGAGGTGTGACATTTTTAAGGTCGTCCTTTTCTAACCCCACCCCTCCTTGTGGGAAGGCAGCATCGCTGTCATGCTGGTTGTCCGAAGGAAACACCTTACTGCTGTCACACCTCTCTACAGTCAGCAGTACGACTTCGCCCTCAGACCTTGAGTTGCTGCTTTTAGTCTTATCATTAATCCATACACATTAACCATTATTAGCTTCGATAATGTCATAAAATAGAACTGTGGCTGTAGTTAAAACCGTAAAATAACGATAAAAACAATCTCGTCTGCACAAAAAGTTGAGAAACATATTTAAACTGCTAACTGCTGAGGATGAAGAAGTGATACCTACATTTCCAAGTTCAAAGTTAGTCAAAAGTTTACTTAAAACTAGCAAGAAGAGATTCCATATGTCGCATTAAGTACACAATGTGATATTTCAGAGAAAGCGATTATTGTATCTGTTACTCCTGAATTCTGATGGTGTCATCGTCACCAGGTTTTAGGGTTAAAAGTAAAGTCGGATACCGGTAGAAAAAAAGGAACCACTCTTATTGAGACTTGAGAGGAAAAATGACATTTTATTGCAACAAATGACAGCACCTTGTAAAATATTTATTGTACTACAGCAATTAAAAAACATCCAGGTACAGTTTCAGAGTAGAAATTATCGTAAGTAATCAAGTAGATATTTCGCATCAACACATTGAACTACTGACTATCAATCTTTGATATAAGAGAAATACGACACCTGATGGTTGGGCTGGCGGAGGTAGTGACAATCAATCCATCTCTACACATTACTGTTCGTAAGAACGATTTATTTCCAATTTTTCGTGTCATTTGATGTTATACTGTTTATTATAATTAGGAGAATGATAACTCAAAATCTTAGGATTCAGGCTTTATCTGACTAATCCCAGTAAAAACAGCAATGCTACAAGTCAGGGATTTAGTTACATAAAAGCAAATACTTTGTAATAAGTATTATACTATGAATGACCTGTAACGTAGTATGCGGATTATATTTTGTTATGATTGTCCTTAAATTAATAAGTTCTTGGAAATTTTGCACGAATATTTTCTTTGACTGCTCTAACACCAAAATTCTCCGTACATCAAAACCGCTAACTGTAACCATAGAAACACAAAAAGCAAATAAAAACACACATCAAGTCACACAACTCTTGTGTTATTAACGATACTTCATAAAGAGTATTTTGATAAAAGCGTTTTTCTTATCTCTACTAGTCTTCTGGTCTTGTGTTAATATCGAATACAAATGTCAGCTTAATTTATTTGGTAGATAGGTTACGTCTTTTTGAGCAGTGTCCAATATATAATTCACAGACTTTCAATTGCTGTGTACCGATCATTATTGTTACCATTCACGCTACTATTGAAGTTCAAACGACAGACTGTACCGAGCTGTGTAGACTTTTAAAAAGGGTGAACAGGATAAGAGGGATACCTGTTAACTGGATTATCAGTGAACTTACAGATAAACATTCACATTTTGAAACTAGCCAGTTCAATCTTATTAGATACGTAACGCATACATTTCACGTGAAATGATTGAGAATCTTTTCAACTGGAAACGCTTTGTAAAAGAAAGTTATTGCAGAGGTTTATACTGAAGGTTTCGCTTCGTATAACTGCTAAGGCGATCACAAGAATAATCAAATTTTGTTAGAATGGCTAAAATCTCTTCAGGGACGATAACCACTCACACATTCTTTTCCACTTCGTCTTCCAGCATAAACTTTGCCCTCTGACTGGTTGCCACTGTTTTTAGTTAACTAAATTTGTGGTTCAAGGTCATATTTCGCTACTACAGAAACAATAGTTGTACAATTCGTTTTGTGTTGCTTGTTCTACATAGAAAATCAAGTTCCCGGTAATATGTCTTCCTTCAGTGTTAGCTGTCGGGGTTATGATGCGTTGTGTGTAAAAGGCCCTCACCAACTGAAAAGAGAACCGATCATATTAGAGTAGCTAGACTGTTTTTGATCCTAAATCCGTAAACGTCCTAGGCCCATACTGAACCCCAATAGCAAGATACAAAATAATGGTGAATACAACGACGATCACCATGATTGCCGTAGAGCAAGGTTAGTACATTACAAAATGAAAAATGCGAGTACTAAGAAGATATAATGGTTCTACAAAGGCTATCAATCAAAATAAGTCAATGTACATACCTTCGCCGATGTTTCGATCCCACAAAATACTGCCATTCTCTACAGATATACAAATAAATTTTCCACGCTTTTGGGTTACCAATAACAGGTGTTCTGATTTGGGAGTAAAAGCCATCAAACACGAAGGTGGAATAGTTGTCGTATTTAATTTCTTCTGCTCTGAGCCAGGCAAATCACACAAATCCTCAGTAGACAACCTACGTTGACCCTGCCCACCAGATGACTGGAATGATTTATCCATGGTGAAATATTGCAGGATATCCGAGTCTTGTAGAATTTCTTCTGTGTCTGTTTCTGTCTCTGAAGATGATGTATTTGAAGACGATTTGCTCCAACTATCCAAACGTATTCGCTTATTACGAGATTTTGTAGAACTACAAATTGAATCATGTGAACTACTACCCCATTCAACTGGTTTCACTTTTGCTTTTGACAAACAGAAACTTCTTCCTTTATTCTTAAATGCCTATCAGCGAATGCAATGATGACAAAAACAAGGTGTATTTAGTTATTTTAGTTGTTAGCACCAAGCTAATTGTTGAAAAATAACAATAAGTGGATAGATATGTTTTTATCATCAATTTGAAGAGAATACACAATAATTGTATAACACTATATTGAACTATTCGAATCAATTTCATTAACTGCTCCATTTAGGTTCCTCACTATCGAGGTTATTAGTATACTATCACTTACCTCTTATAGAATAAGATTATGTAAATAAATGAGTTGTCAATAAATGGTAACAATAATCAACTCGAACCGAACAAGTTATGATATGTGGATATTAAGATAAAGTGTATCATGCTGAATAGTTATACTTTATCTTCAGGCGAACCTATGTAATAAAGATGCCACTTATCAACATCCTGATGAGAGTTGTCACTAATTGTTAGTTGCACCATTTGGCTGATCATATAAAGAATCAATGTTAATACATTGTAAAAAGCTATTTATAAACAGGCATCTTGAACATGGGTATATTAAGTAAATAAAGTGTACAAAGCAGGATTAGATATCCTCTAGTTTTAATCCAACATAAAACAAAGCATTCCAACGAATGATGAACCGAACGTTGCGTAACAGTTTCCGACTTACCACATCTAATTTCAGCAGTCGAGTTCGTTTGAAGTCGCTGTAGACAATGAAAGATCCACAAGGAGATAAACTAGATTTAATAAATTCCATACCCTTAGATGGATGGATTTCTACTACCTGAAGTGGTCCAAGATTCATAGAATAAAACTTTTCAAAAACTTTCTTACGACCAGATGTGAGTGGTTGACCAAGACGTACTAAACAAAGTTTGTCTGGGTAGTGCAGAAGACATAAATGACGAGATGCACCAGCCTGACCACCAAAAGTACCATGCACTAATCCTATAGGCAAAGTTACAAAGCATCCTGGTGATGGACGCGAGGGTGCAACAGAAGCAGGCCAAAATGGGAGAGCAGCGACATATCCATTATCTGCTTTCTGCTCATCTCGAGGTCTTCCAACGTTGACAGCCAAAGTCTTTTCAGCCAAAGCAAGGACACCAACACCCGTTTCGATTGATTCACATGGCATTACTTGTAGACATGCATCTTGTCCCACAGCAAGAAGACGATGAGGTTCAAAACGGACATCTGAAAAGGAAGATTCTGCGCTAGGATCATGATGATGACCTGGGATGAAGGCTAGCCCATGAATATCACGTCTAGAACCCCTAATTATACCACTACATTGCCACTGACCTAATAATGGGAAACATGAAAAAGTAGGTGATAATTAAAATAGTGAGCGAAAAAAATGCGAAATACAATGAACCTACGATCGAGATTTGCTTTCCAGAACGAAAAGAATTTCAGCTTAAAATAGTTTGCTATTAACCAGTGATTAGATTTACAGCTAACACCGGACCAAACGAATAATCAAAATAATGTGCGGATAACCCATATATAATATATATTATACCATGAAGATATTCTTGCATAGAACAGTGTACAATTCACAAAAATAATCATTTTATAAACTTTATGTATATGCCCATATTTGTTTGATTCAAGTACATCGAAACCACAACCAGTTAATCAGTCACAAAGCCTGGCACAAACATCCCTTAACTCAAGTTGCCATATCATATCACTAAGACAAAATGAAATTAGCAATGATGCAAAATCGTTGAAATAGTGTTATCAATGATAAAGGGATAAATTAAACATTGAAGAACATGATTCAAGAAGAAAGCATGAATTTGAAGAATAATACGTGAGAGACAATAATAAGGTTCAAGAAGTTGGAGCGGGTTGAAGATTAAGTGTGCCTGGGCCACTATGACCGAACTATGTCATCTAACACCCGCAATCACTGGATGTGGTTATTACGTGGAACCAAATCATGTAGTCAACATCCACTTACACGCCTCATAGCAATAGTTATTCACCGCATGAACAGAAACCATGCCTTGATTCTTAAAATTGTCTCTACTACAGATAAAATCAAACGCCGAGGTTGGAGGTAGTTAGACATACTCAAACATGTGTCTAGACCATCGAGTTAGATGAAGATATAATTGTAGCTGGATAGAATCCTGACTCCATGTACAGTCTAAAATCAAGTCGTAGTAATACGATTGGTCTATTTTCAACCAATCAGTCTCAGTGAATGGCTAAAGCGTAAACGAAAAGTTGGTTCAATAAATTTTATATAAACTCTGGGTCTTTGCAATTGTGTCTTGTTGTTCTGGGTATTTAGATTACATGTTGTTTCCCTCTTGTGGCAATGGAAAGCCAGATAAGCAAGAATGTAATACACAATCATACCAACTGAGTCCAGATATTTGTATAGTGCGCTACTCTTAGGATTATACATCAGACTGCTTTATCAAACCTAAGCAATGTTAAGAAAATATTCCTGTTAAAAAACCGGCAGTTTACACATCTTTTATTTTTATAAGCCATGTTTCACGACCAGAGAGTAATACAGAGTAGATTACTTCCTTTTTAGTGGACAGACGATCTCGTGGTGCAAGTTGGTACAAGCAAAGCGAGCTTTCTAGAGCTGTACCGATATATCATCAAAAAAACCTACCATGGCTTTACTGTTCGTTATATCCTGCTGACAACAACAATAAGCCTGCTGTTACAGATTATTATAACAGTGATACTAGATAAAACTATATTTTGGTTACACAGAAAATGCTGCTGGTTGTTTTGAAGAAGATTGGAAGATTTCTCGTAATTAGTGATCTTTTAAGCTGTGTAGATTTTTATAGGACATACTGCATCAATTTCATACCAGTTAAATGGATAACATAAAACCAGGAAACACTTCTTAGCTATTTTCAGGCTGTAAAACCGTAATAAATTCAGATAATCGAACCCAACATATAAATCAGGATTAATGACTGATATAAGTAAGAAAATATAAAAAACACCATTACTTAAAACACTTTCTAACTGAAAACCCAGATTAAAAACAACTTAATTTAAAGCACTACAAATCTGACTCGTTAGCATTTTTCACTGTATCTAATCTTAAAAATTTTGCGATGTTAAGAGTAACCTACTAATGATTGAAATATAAACGGGTTTTACTATTTGTTTTACATCTGAAATACATAACCTGATGCAGATAAGATTGGAGTGATGTCAGCCTTAACATATTTTTAATGTCTTGTCAAATATGTTTGGATAAATAATCAAATACACATTAGTAAATCTATAAAAATTAATGATGATACCAATAAATTTAACTTTAACTATGTAGTACTGCATGATAAAGTGCTACAAACATACAAGTACATAAAATGAGACCAAAAACTGAATAATAGAAATACCATCTCCAGTTTCAGATAAAGAGAATTCGAATCTCCGTACAATAGCATCTGCCCCACCACTAAAAATAATGGAACCATCGAGATTGGAAGCCAAAGCAAGGACATCAGCATGATGACAAGAGAAACTATATAACTGGCCGCCGACAGATATATCCCAAATACACACCACGCCTCTACTATCTCCAGAAAATAAAAATCCACTGCAAAAGGAAATCAAGAGAATAAATAAGATGACTTAGGTATATCTTTAACAATGAAAAATCTATCTGTAAAATATAAAAAACGTTTACAACAATTAGATGCAAGCAGATTAGAACATATAATGAAGTCAGAATTATCGTGATTTAGATTAAACATAACTTGAGTGTGTTAGGACTCCATTAGCCAGGTAGTTGGAGCCTTAAATATATTTATAAAGCACCTAATATTACGTTTAGTCAAAAGCATTGTTAGGGTGGTGTGGCTGAATATTTTTATTAATGTAGGATTTCTCTAAAATCTTACTTTCACCTGCGTTTGCAATGGCGCAGGTGCATACACTCTTTGTGTTCTCTCAAACTTTGATCTGCTTATTCCTCCTTGTCTCTTTTTTTTTCTCTTCCCAAATTTTTTTCACTGTATTATACTCTTTAAATAACATCTCCAAACACTAATTTTCCCGATTACTGCTTACACTCTTATTACCTCTACCACTACGGGGTTTGAATCGATCACTGCATCTCTGTGCTAATGTGGTGTGGCAACTCGAACTGATGTACGTACGTACGAAGTTCTACGTTGTTACTGACTGACTGACTTTCACAAGTAACTTTATCTGTTAGATTTTATTTTCATACAAAATATCTTAAAAAGTGGATATTATTAAATTGATCTGGGTGTACTGAACGGATGAGACAAATTCTGTTTCATACGACACAAGTAGTAGATTTCCCCAGATGATCTTGTGGTTAAAGCACTCAGCTTTCAACTAAAAGTTTGCAGGTTAAACTTCTTTCTTCCTTACTCCGATTTAGGTAGGTGATAGCCTTTATACAATGTTCTTCAAAGCTCAGTATATTTCACAGCAGCATAGAGAGAATGGACAATAACAACACTTAAGAACTGGTTTAAATAAAAAGGGTTGAAGAAGATTAAGTGCTCACAAGATAAATGGATGCGTTTGTGATATTTCGAACCGCGTTAATTAGGGCATTTAGTACCTGAATTATATAACCTTGAAATAACCCTTGGGAAGCGAACAGATTTATTGATGCTGAGAATTAGATCAGTACTAAAGACTACAGAAACGACACTGGTACAACTCATTGATAAACATGCATGAACTTATCGGTCTCACAACTATTCAGCCGAGGCTTGACAGTAACATCTCATACTGCGAACCTTGGTGATGTGAGTGCGAATACGCCCAATCGAGTGTCGGCGAGAGATAGAGCCCAGTTTCGAGGACTGCCGCCAATCCCCTCCATCTATTTAACACGACACATTTCTATCATTCACTTCAAACAACTAGCGAATATATAAAAGACAATCGTACTGAACTTATCCGGACAGCTTAGATGCTTCCCGACTGCTATGAAGTAAACTTCCCGCGTGTCATAAGGCCAAATTTCGATTTTTTAAATTGATGAGTAGAATTCTAATAGATGGATAAACGCAATAATATAAAGTGGCCGAGCAATGGGCAATCATTAAATCATATAATTGACTGTAGCCCCCGAATGATGAGAATTGGAAGACAATACAACAAGCCAAATGAATGATTCTTTCATTTAATAACATGCCTATATGCAAAATATGAACGCGAAATAGACACGGGAAAGTGTCACAAACGATTGGTGTAGACTACCTGTTTGGGATCCACGATATGATAGCAACCGATGGTTAGAGACCTTGAATGACATGGCTCAAAATCGTTTGCAATGGCGCAGGTGCATTTACTCTGTTTTTCCAAATTCTAATCTTCTGAACCCTCCATGTCTTTTATTTTCTTTCAAAATTTATTTCACTGGATTATACTCATTGAATAACCCCAATCTTTCAGAATACTGCTTATACTCTTACTACCTCTAACACTACGGGATTTGAATCGACAATTGTATTTGTGTGCTAATGTGGTATGGCAACTCGAACTGACGTACGTACGTACGAAGTTCTAGGTTGTTACTGACTGACTGTGGCAGACGATTGGAAGAAATTGGCTTGTAGGTCGTTCATTCTCTAGTCAATTGAGCTGGCTGTTAAGCTTAAGCGTACCAATAGTCACCAGTAAATAACCTACCAGGACATAGTTACTCTAAAACGTAATGCTAACTGTTTAAACTGCCAAAGATACACCAGTTATGATGGACACAATCTATATTCCCGCAAAACACTAAAAAAAATCCTCGAATGTTTGTTTAAGTCTACTAAATTAGCTTAATGTACTACTTACGAATATATAGATTTCTTCTGTTTTACCACTGGACATGGCAAAATTACTACTATTACAAACAAAATTTAACACTCCCTGTAAAGTAAATGAGCTAAAGTACAATGAATTAACAGTAATCTTACAATTTCGATCACAAACCTTTATGCCGAGAATTTTTTCTAAACACAAGAGCGTAAGTCCACAACTTGATCATATCTTGAGCAGAAACACCTAGCTTTTTGAAAATTTATTGTCGCAAATGCACTTGGAAGACATAAGTATACATAACTATACATAAGGAGCACAGGTATACAATCTATCCAAAGCTGACATTTCATAATACAGTATCCAAAAGCGATGCTAATAGTCATACGCATACCAAACAAAATGAAGTTCCTTTCTAATACAGTTCATTCATTCTAATAAATTTCTAGAATTTTTGGTATTCACTGACATCTATTAGATCAATTTGTAAAAACCATTTACATGTATGGTAAATGCAAATGACAGCTAGCTCAAAAATATGACAACCGTAAATGTAAACATCTAACGAGTACTCGTTTGCTTGGGACTGAAAGATGTTTGTTTGTGGAGCAGGTTATTGTAACAGAAACTTAATTTTTGTTCAGAAATGAATTTAAACCTATATGTTTCATCAAAGATAGATCATGAGTTCCATAAAATTACACAATTGCAGACTAGGTGACTACTTATGAAGCTTTGTTTTGTGGAAATATTTGGTAATAGGTAGCAATAGCTCATGTCTTACCCAGCGAATAATAGAGCCCAGATAAGACAGGCTTTGTTCGATTCTGTTAGCGTAAACATTACTTTGGATACACCATCACGAATAGATATCAGGAGAAGAGAGCCAGTACTAGTGCCTGTCGCCAAAATGCCTTTGTCTTGATGAGTACAAGCTACAGATAATATTTTCCCTTAACCAATAATTTAGTATAATGTATGTACCAGAGAGCTTAGGAATCGTAAGTTTAGGAGCTGGATCTGTTTTGTCGGTTGAAAAAAACGTGATAAACCCTTCGTCATTGCCCACCTGGAAGAAAATAAAAGTCAGAACGCTCTTGAGAAACCTACAACTATGTTATCTTCGAAGACCGTCATACATCGAGCGACTGGACATCCTACTAACAAACAAGACCCCTTGATGCTGGAAGCCTGTATATCAAGCTCTACGAGACGGCCCAGTGCACCTGTGCAAAATAATCTTGATTGCATCCACACTACAGACTCAACTGAACAACATAATCGGCGTGGAAAATGTGCAACAATGAAAAAGTCTCGGTTTTCATCATACACATCCACCGAACCATTTGACCTTCCAGCGGCAATTA